GATATATATATATATAAATACACACACATACCAAGTCTTGCACAAAGTACACACTTATGACACGGGAATTCCTTTCCATCTAAAGATTTCAGGGTCACATCGGAGAGGTACGAACTAGAAGATATTTAACAGGATCAGAACTGTGACTATTCAAAAGAGCTATGAGTTGTAAACTCTACAAATAACTTTTGCAAGTTAGGATTTATCCTTTAAAATAAAACACACTTGAACTTTAATAATATAATGTAAAATGAACCTAAAAGTATAGGCATGATAGTTTCAAGAGACAATTTTTTTTGTTCAAAGTTGAGCTCTCAAAAGTCCATCTCAAGTATTTCTGTCACAACACGGTCAATTACTGTTTCAAAACTGCTATGACCAAATAAATTAATTATGGGTAATTTTAGTCAGTCTTAAATAGTCTCTGTGAAGTTATTTCTTTTACATCAGTACCTACTATAAGCTTTGACACTGCATTTTAAGAGTGAGGTAATCCAAATTCAGTGAAAACACTAGTTTTATGCAATGTAGGTTTTAATATGTAAGAAGACTCTTCAAGCCTTCAGGTATAAATAACCTAATCACACCAATGGAATTAAAAAACAAACACCACCTTGATAAAAGCATAAGGAATTTTTATATTGAAAGATATTCCAGAGATTTTCCTAATTAGGAAAAATATTTGCTTACTTCCAATCCACGTAGTCTTATTGTCACAGCAAGCATATTTGCAGAAGTCAAACTGCTTTTGACTGAATTACTCACAGCATTTTACCTGGCATTAGTATTCTGTGATACAGCTAATCCACAGAACACATCAATGTACATCAAAAAGAAGCAAAAAATATACCATACGTAATCTATCCCAGACTACTAATTCATAGCTCAGTCTATAAGCATCTACAGAGAACTTCCAAACATGCCTTACTGTGAAGAGACAAGTGTACACTCAATGATAAAATACAGCTGATCAACCTCAGCCTACACTTAACAGAGAAAGAGATGACATAAGAGTAAGACGGTGTGGGCAGGGGAAGCTTGAGTTAAAAAGTTTACCATTTCTTCTGATTTAACTTTGGCTTGTTTCCATTCTTCTTGTTGACATTAATTTTTCCATTTTCTAACCTGACTCCACCCAACCTGCAAACCATTAACATTGGTAATAAGTAATACAATTAGTATAGAGTTCAAACAATTAAGAACAGTTTCACAAAGTGACAGCAGTTCAGTGAGCTCATATTGTGAATATGAAAAAGGATCAAAATCATTCATCACAGAAAACTAAAAAGGGCCAGTTGTCACCTGAAAGTTTTCACTGCAGGTGCAAAATGTAACTGACATTCTTTCCACATCTTAGATATTTTTTCTTAGATGAAAGCTATACTGCTATAGTTAAGGCCAAAGCCCAATATCACAGAGTCAAAATCTGGGAGTTTTATATACTGCTACCAGCAAGTTATCTGAACAAAGACAGTGGTTTGGAAGAGACACCCACAGGCGTCTTTAGCACCCTAATTCATTAAGGAGACTTGTGAACGTGATGGTAAAGATATAGGAGTGCTGCTGATGAATGACAAAGCAATACACTTTTAAAGGGAAAATGCTTGAACATGGGAATTTTACTTGGGAACTCAGTTTTAGCAGCAGCTTCACATCTTTGCTGATTAATTTTAGCATTTATGAAATATACAGTGAAGAAAACTTCCCTGAAAAAGTTCACTCCCTCCTTTGAGAGGGAAAGATAAGTGCAGAAAAAAAACCCAAAACTGAGTAATACAGTTCTACAGAGTCATTTGGTCTCAATTCCATTAGTTTTGTCATGTAACATTAAAAATGCATCAGTTAAACAAGAATTTAACTTTGCTTTGTGTTGTTTTATGCTAAATATGTTCACGATCTATGGAAAAACTAGAAGACCATGGACCACAGGATAGAAATTCGTCAGCCCAAAACTCAGTTAGATCAGCTGTCTCTAACAAAACAAATACTGATGTTTTAGGACAGTCAGTATATTATGGAAAGTCAGATTACTGGCATCAGATGTCAAGTCTCAGAGACCTCATGCCCTAAAAGATACACAGGAGAGATGTTTTAAATACAAATGTCCAAGAGGTTCTAGGACACAATACAGGCCAACAGTACATTTCCATCATATAGAAGCCTATTGAAAAATGATACTTTAAGTCCATAATCATGTTATGAAAGTTTGCTTCTGTCATTATTTTAAAAGGTCATACACATGCTTTCTCTCAGCAAAGAGCATCAGAACAAACTGATGTTGCTTTAAAGAGATGACACAGTGTGTGCTGTAAACTTTTATACTTACAACCAATAAAACAAACAAAAAAGGCAAACTTATCAACCGTAATTAGCCTTCCACTTTAATAACAACTAAAATTAGATCAACTTATACAAACACAGTCTGTGAAGAGCTTGCCAGAATACAAATGCATCTCCTTTCACCTACCTTTCACTTAAACTGCTGAGTCCGAACTTCTTTGCAGCACTTTGCAACATTTTTATGAGGTTAGCTTCTTCACCAACAACTTTGCCTTTTTTAGATTTGCTCCTCTGTTTTTCATTTATAACTTGTGCTTGATTATTTCTATAAATCTCAAATGCAGACTTTTCATTAACATTTTCTTCAAAACTCATTTTGCTCAGGTTAGAAATTAAAGTCTCTTGATATTCTTCCGATTTTCCTTTAAGCAGGATTTTTGGTTTATAACCATGAGTCAAAAGATCGCAAGTATCAGTGTATATGAACTGCAGAAGGTATGCAAACAGATCTGGATGAACTTTCTCTATTACATAAAGATCACAGCCAACAGCATCTTCATCTTTACGGTAGACGTCTGGAGTGTCTAGCTGGTTGCCACTGGAAACAAAGAGCTTCCTGAAGAAGTCAGAGCGTACAGACAAGATGTATTTGTGCACTGGGTAAGTTCTTGTGCCAATTTGAAAAGTCACATCATGGATGCTGTCCATTTCATCTGTTTCATTTAACAGTTTGCCAAAATCCTCTCCAAAACTTGATAATGACACACTCGGAATTTCATAGAGACTAGAACAAAATTAAAACCATCAAAAAACCACTGCTTACAAGCTCCATAAAATTTCACATAGTATGTTTAATGACAGGGGTGAGGTTGCTTACACTTGGTTTGTTGAGTTTTTTCTTACATTGCTGGACTACTCAATATTTCTTGTCCTGTTCTTTATGAAAATAACTAATAATATGGTATTTAGGCAATTAAACCACATCTGTAAGGTCTGTCTAGCTTCAGAATATCAAATACAGTTTTTATCTTTATAATGTAGCCAGAATGTAAGTATGTATTACCTACCTTATCTTCACCTCATTTTTACAACATGAAAACACAGAAATGTCTGCTGTATTTCATATGACAATCCAAAGCAATAAAAAGAAAAAGCTAATATTTACTTATTTATCAGATATATTATGAGAGTACAACGAAAATGGATCAGTATTCTACTTGTTCATTTTACTTAAAACATTTTTTTCAAACAAATAAAGATCCACTTTCCACTTTTACTTAAAAGCTGACCATTGGTGATTACTAAAGGGGTGAATTTCTACAGTATTTAGAGCTCAGAGTGTGTTAAGAAATACATCCCAAATGCTTGCCTTAAACACTTCCGATAGATAATTACGCAAATACACAAGCCTAGGTCTTTTGGTAGCTTCAACACAGCTGTTTATTAACAAGTGCTACTCTCTAGCAGTATGGATAACCATGCTTACTCTGACTTCTATTATGAGCCAAAAAATGGTTTTGAAAAGAAGAATTATTTAATTGCAATCACACACACACAAAAAAGTGGAAAATTACAGTTGTTGATATTTTAAATTTACCTTGTTTTAGGATCTGACTGTAGAACAGCAAAATTGCAACCATTAGGATCAGTGGCAATACTAACAGCTCGGTGGACAAAAGCAAGCTTCTGAAGTCGAATTCTTTCGTACACACTGTTTGTATCATGTTCACAAGAGATATCACATGAAGAATTCTGAAGGCTTGATACCAGTTCTGCTAAAGGAAAAAAAAACCCACAGAAATATCCAGCTAATTAAAATGCAACCGATATAACAAAAGAGCAGGATTTATGACTTCTGTAGATCCACTAATAGAGTCACTGAATAAGGCTAAGTTATGCTGAAAACTTCAGCTCTCTTAACTGAAATGCAGGAAGACATTTTAAGAATAAGGCGTTATTTACATTACATTTAGGAGTGTCTTTATCAAGAACTTCTTGTAGAAGTGGAAAACACTCCATCAAACATTCAATGCAACTTGTAGAATGAAACAAGCTGTGCATCAGTGTACAGCAGTGAAGATTGTTTTCTCTTCCTGTCATATCAATTACAGCAGATAGAATACAATTGCCTTAAAACTTCATATTATATCTATTTAAAATTATACCCAAACTAACAAAATATCGCTGAAAAAACGTTATATTCTCTGAATACTGGATTATTTTTCAAGAACTGCACACCATTCGCCACATTCATTAAAACCTTTCAAAAAAACAGAAGCTCTCATTCATTACAAATGAGCAATGAACATCAACAAGACATTCAACTAGTCCACAGGTCTGGATTTTGAAATTTCCTCGAAGATACTAAAACTACAAAAATAATACAATAAGCATAAAGAACAGATTGCCTACAGACACATACCAGCACCAGGACAAACAGAGCGAAAAGGTGATGCATTTGGTGCCTCTGTAACGAGGGAACTACTATGTGATGCATAAAATAAAGTAGAATGGAGTAAAACTAGTATGCAAACCTGGACTGAACAACAGAAGAAAGATTTTTGCTGTGAAAGAATACAAAACTGGACTGATAAAACTAAAGGTGGAATCTTGGTATCAAAGGAAGTAGAACTGCAACATAAAGCTATAAAGTTCAAATACGCCCCAGGTTGGAAGTAAATCCATTTCTAGCCATGGAGTTTTAAGACCCCTACACTAACAGAGCTGACAGTTTCAATTCAAAACTTGTCCTATAGTAGACAGATATCTCCCTTGCAGAAAAACAATCCATCAGTACGTACTCTCAGCAATGAGACAAGGCAGAAATTGCTCTAGACCCTGTATTATGCCCAGAGAAGGGTCTGGGAAACATGATAAGGTTTTATAGAGTTAGGAAGTAAATGTTTGTTCAATGCCAGTCTCTTAGGACTGGTCATCTAATATATGTGACAAGATCATTACACTGGACCGTGGAGCTACTATTACTTTTCAGAAGTACTTTTCTTCCTGGAAATACCCACCTGAAGGTTAACTGAAGGCTGCAAAGTAAGTAAATCTTAGCATTACTGACGAAAGAAAACAGAAGTGGTCAATGCTACCAACCATCAGCCACAGAGGAAAGAACAAACTCACCACATAATACTATTAGAGTCTGTAAGGATTCAATTAAACTTTTATATTGATTTGAAGTATTTAAAAATCATTAAGAAATCACAGCTAACCTTTCTTTTCTGAGATTTTTTTCCCTTCTTCCAGCCACTTCCCTGTAAAGGCTTCACCATCCTGTGTGACAAACATTATTTCGTTTCTATTTAAAGCAACATCGGACATGAAGACTTGCCGGCCATACACCCAACGACACTGCTTCATGGAGTTGCTAGATGACTTCCAGCAAAACACCTGTAACATAATTTTTTCAGAGAAAGGGGAAACTTTCACATCATATAAAAGCAGTTACATATTACACACTACTTTTTTAAACACAAGAACATGCCATCTCAAAGTTGTATATTAAAGGATAAAGACATTCTTCAAAATTATACCCTGAAGCGTTATGAGCATCTATTACAAAGCACCCACAAGTAAAACAGGGAAAATTTATTACAATATCAAGATCCATTTGTCCATGAAGGGCATTTGAAAAGATTCTCTGAATATTGAAGCACCTTCAGAGCAGTCATTTATGTGACAGTTTTTATTGACATTTCAACAAGGACAGCAAAAGGTATCATCAAGTCAAGAAACAAGTTCAATCAAATTCTTAATTTACAGATTTGTCCAGCTGGCTTGCTTATAAATCAGGCAAAATGCAAAGCTAGTACACCAAAAAATTAAACCACTTCCTCATAATCATTTGTCAAAAATCTCAAGTTTCTCTGTGCCAGCCAAGGTTTTGAAATTAAGATCATGACTAAAGACAAACTTCCAAACATTCAACGTAAACATGAAGAACTGCATGCACAGCAGGACCCCAACAAGGTATAGTGCAGATGTCTGAAAGAAGCGAGCATGAAGCAACAACCCCACACAAGGTAAAGCCCAGACGTAGCATTAGTAGTGATAAAGTTGGGCTTTTGTCTTCTCCCAGTGAAGGGCCTGCACAGGTCTGTTAACATCTACGCAATAAGAGGACAAAAGAATTTGAGTAACCTATTTCCTTTCCCTTGAGCCCTACAGAGTCATAGAATGGTTGAGGTTGGAAGGAACCTCTGGAGCTTATCTAGTCCAACCCTCTGCTCAAGCAAGGCCACCTAGAGCTAGTTGCCCAGGACCATGCCCAGATGGCTTCTGATAATCTCCAAGCATGGAGACTCCACAACATCCATGGGCAACCTGTGCCAGTGCTCAATCACCCTCACAATGAAAAAGTGCTTCCCAATATTCAGATAGAGCGTCCTCTGTTTCAGTTTGTGCCCATTGCCTTTGGTTCTGTCACTGAAAAGAGCCTGGCTCCATCTTCTTTACGTCTTCCCTTCAAGTATCCATATACACTGATAAGATTCCCCCTGAGCCTTCTCTTTTCTAGGCTAAACTGTACTCTCTTAAAGAGAGTTCCATGAAGCGAAACCAAGAAGTGCTGATTCAGGAAACAGAAGTATTAAGACCTCTCCTTACTCAATAATTCATAATGCTTAAAAGCACTAAAGATCCCAGCATTTGCCAGTATTCAGCACGGAAAAATATGAAACGTAGATTGACACAGTTCCACTGATAGAGGAAGACAAAGTAGTTTCTTACTGCTAACGGAGTGTCCCAAAGATGTTGAAGGGGCACTACCGATACTACAGGTGCTGGAGGCTAAACCTCACATGAGCAAATACTGAACTGGAAGTTTACATCTCTGAGACAACTAATGATCTAATAAACAGATAAGATCATGCCAAAACATAATTCAGTTAAATGCAAGGAAATAAAAGGAAACACCCACACTGCTCTCTATTTTGATATACAAACCCAAATTTTAACATTAAGAAGATAGCATTGCAGGAACAAAACCTTTTTGTAACCACCACTAGATGGCACTGAAGGCTTAGATCGCCCAGTGAGCAGATCTAGAAGAGGCTGGGGTTTTGATGAGTCCTAAAAACTGTTACTCTATGAAAGAATGAGGGAAGGAAACAACAAATCCGCCACAGCATTCGAGTTCTAAGACAGCGCAGTATCTACACTGTAAATACTAAACCATTCACCAAGTTTCGCTGCAACTTTTCAACAATAAAAGGGACATCTCGTCTACAGAACAGCTGCTTTTTAGCAAAGGCTCTAAAACTTCAAGTCCAGAGACTACTTCTGAGACTATTTCTAGAGGGTGTAAAGGTGATAAGGTGGGGTGAGAAGAAAGATGGGAAAAAAAAACCCAGACCATGTACACTATACAACCACATATGTATATAAAAACAAAGGAGTTTACACCCTCAGTGAAAAGTCATTAGATGTTGATAGATTTAAAAATAAACTACTGTATATTACTTTGGTAGTCTTCCCATAGCCCTTTAAAAAAAAAAAAATCACTAGCAGCTCTACTGAAACAAACTGGGTATTTTTTATGCATCATTTTGTCCTGTCTAAAGTTTGATTAAGCAGTACGCAGCCTGCTATACAATTATGATTTCTAGGGACACAACTTACTCTTCCAGCTTCATCCAGTGCTAGAACGCAAATCTTCTGACCCCCATTTTCTTGAAGATGCTGGGTATCTACCTTATATTCCAAATATTCCTCATTAACAAGAACTTTTTTAAGGTTCAGCTGTCTGAAAGAACACAAAAGGTTAAATTAGTATTTCTTCATTGTGTATTTATGTTGCTTCTATGAAAGAGTCACCTTTTCCATTCAGAGAAGCAGTAAAAAAATTTAGCTGAGGTAGTGACACTGAAAAATTACTTTAGCATCTCCCCACTAGTATTACTAACATAACTGCTAAAAAAATACTATCAGTAGATTGTAATTTTTGCTTTGTTAAGTCAGTCATATCATATCCACAGGTTCTTCACAAACTTCCACAAGTGAAAACCATTATATTATTTAGCTTTGATCTTCACCATTACAAAAATTATACCTGTATAAATTTAATTTAGTAGTTTGTATTAAAAGACCTATCCCATCCCAGCAGATCAAAAACCATGCAAGTTATCACTTTTCAGTTTCTTAGTATAAAAGCGTAGTATATCGTATTCAGTTTCTCCAAGTGCCAGCACATTCACATACAAGCACATAGAAAATGAAGTATAAAATAATCATTAAGCTATAACATGTCAATAAATACTGCTAGAATATGAAGTGAAACTGAAAAGTTAACTAGGAGTTAGCTGGACAAAAATGCTTATTACCTCTCCTAATCTGTTATTGCAAACTAAGTAAGAGAGAATGGGATCAAACAATTTCGTAAACTTGGTTTTACATCCAGGTTTTAGCATATGGACCAGATGATGTCACAAGGTCCCCCTTACAACCTCAATTACCGTTTATAACATACTATATCCACACATTAATTATAAAATTCAGACCTAAAATTACTGATTCAAAATCGTAACAACATATCTAACAGAACAGCAGATCTTCAACACCTCTACCAAGATGCATTTATACAAATTCAGGCTAACAGAGGAACAAAAATACACCAGTTTCAATATTTTTAAACCAATGGCACAAAATATTTTCTCTTAATATGTTTTTTTTAAATATCTTTGGTCAACAGTGAGTGGCACTTTAGCCTCATCTAATAACAAAAACAAATAAACAAAAAAGTTCATATGAAAGAACTGCAAATGAAGAAAACCTCAGGGTAGCACTTGTTATCTCTACTTTATGCACAAAAATCTACACCAGCTTGCAAGTGTAAGACTATAGTGAAATCTTCACCTATTGTCCTTCAAGACAAATTAGAAAAGTAACACATACTTCGAAGCCATCTTCTTGCACTGATAGTCTGCAAGTAAATAAATATCTCCTCTTTCAGTAACGCATACTGTAGCGCCATCACTTGCAGAGACCAAGGACACAGAGATATCTTTATGATGTAGAGCAGAAACTTGGCGAGGTGTAGTTACACATTTTTCTCCATTAGGATCCAGCAGATAACCTAGAAAATACAACACATCCCAAAAACATTACTTGCCTTTTCCACACATTGTGCATTTAAAGGACAATTTGCTACAATATAACCTTTGAAGAACCTTTAAATTCTAAAAGACTTTTTAGGTAGTTAGACAGATAAGAGACTCACCACACATACTTGTTACTTCACCACGAACACTAGAAAACATTTGAGATTTCATACACAAAAATGAAGTAAGACATATTCTACAGGGAGTGCTGTTTCATGCGGTTAGACTCTGCAGTGGTACTAACTTTGATTCCAAAGAAAGAATGCCTGTTTGATCATATTACAGTTCAAGACACTAGAAATACTATCACACTGGCATAAACTAGAGATTAGTTCAGCCACGGGAAGATACCAAATAAGTTTGTCACACAAACTACTATTCAGTGCACATAAATGCGAAGGCAGGCAGTTATGTGAAACAGACAAAGTTGGAGCTGTAATGTAAGGTCTCTGAAAAGACAAAAACAAAATAAAAATCAGCCCACTGCTGCTCTGCTTCATCAAGAAACCTAACACAACAAATCTCATATATAACGTAACCTTGCTCTGTGTGAGCTTACGTCTGCGCCACAGAGTGGATTCAAGTACAAATACCCAGGGACAAGCAGCAGAGATACCTCTAAAGCTGGAAGCAATCCCTTCATGTGACAGTGTAGTGCAATGCCCAAACACCATAAAGAGGCAAGGTTTATCACCACAGGTCTACCATAGTGCCCAGCTGACACAACTATAACGCTTACAATCCAATTACCGCCTCCATATGGTACTGCACTGGGCCACGTGCACACCAGAATCATCTCAACAACACAAGCAACCACAAATAATGATGGGTGCATACAAAAAAACCCCACAAAACCCAAAGAAAAAAAAATATTCATTAGCAATACTTTCTCTGACAAAGACAAGCTTTTTCACACACCTTTGTAATCTTACATAGAACAGAAAAAACCTGATGCCAGAACTGATGCAGATTAACTCTCTAAGTACCATGGCTAGCTAAAGTTTTGTTTGCACACAGATACAGAACTGCAGAAATGCAAATCCAAACCAATATTGCCATACCTGATCATTAAAAAGACAGAAGTAACTGAAATATCCCATTCATACAACAAATCAATAATTCACTAGTTGGTAATACATTTTTATTAGGTTATTTCTTGACTTCAGAATAATACTGAGTGAAGAGAAGATTCTGGCAGTGGTACTGTTGAAAAAAATTTTAGATGGGGAAGCTTTTCAGTTTAAAAAATCAGTACGGAAAAAGTTATCAGTAGCATGTTTACAGTGTGCAGTGAAAGAAGGACATAGGCAGGAGAGCTGAATGCTAGTTTATAATTTATTAAGGGCAGTACTAGCGAGACTCCTGGAAAGAGACAAGCAAGCCTTGGGGTAATCTGCAACACAAACAGCAATACTGTGTTTCCTGAAAATCCTCAGTAGCAGGACCACACAAGATACATGGAAGGAGAAAGAATTATAGAGTTCAAATAACAGAACTAAGTCTGACTAGCTCCCATCATCTCAAAACATGAAAGTGACTGGCAGTGATGAAAAATATTCCTCAAAAGAAGTGTGAAGGGCTGATGTCAGCAGACTGGTTAAAAAAAAAAAAAAAAAAAAAAAGAGAGAGGGAAAAGAAAACTTTAACCAGGCTTCCTGTTGTAAGAAGCAGATGACAGCTTTAGTACGAGTAACATCTTTAATGGCTGGGTTTTACTTTCAGAACGCTTCTACCTTACCTAGTTGGCCGCCATTCAGCCCCATGGTATACACTGCTTCCTTAGTCCATAGCACTGTATGGAATCTGCCTGCAGCCACTCCAATCACCATTCTACCTTTCAGGTTTTTTGCCTGAACCTAAGCACAAATCCAAAGTACATCTTAATATTAAGCAGCAACAGGTGAATTTCACATGTACAAACTTCTGACAACATGAACTCCTAAAGTCATTAACAGTGAAACATTGGTATCAAGCCACATACAGTCTAATGTCAGGATTATTTCAGGAGTTTGTCAAGTGGGGCACTATTGCACTAGTGACAAAAAGAAGTCAACTTTTTTGCGTTATCTAATCAGAAATACAATCAAATCTCTTAGGCTTTCTTCATATATAAGATGTTTAACAAGACTGCATAGGACATGTATAAGACAGTCAAAGATGGCTCAGGTGCCACCAGTGTCAGCTAAAACGTTTCAGCTTTTAAGTCTTAATGCCCTCAACAGACTACAGAACTCTATACTACTAATCCTATGCTTCAAAATTAACTTGATTTTCCAGATCAAGATGATCAAGATCAAAGCAAATACTGTGGACACACAGCTATCATTACACTATTAAAGACCATCCGATTGTACCCCAAAACTCTATTCTGTTGCATGTAGGCCAATTATTCTTTCCTACTTTTATAACACTGGTAGTGCAATGTTGTTCTACTCCAGATGAAGCTTCCTTTCAATAAAAGGTAATGTAACTTTTATTTACTTAAAAACAAAGTAGTTAGAAAAAGTTAGAGATTGAGCACAGAAATATAGTCAAGTTGCTGATGCCCATACCCTCTCTTCCCTGTCACTTTCTAAAGCATTATGACCCCAGAATCAACAGCGCTTCCAGCAAAGGACACAATCATCAAACCTCGAGATCCATCATCCAGTGATTCAAAAGCAGGAAAGAGCAGGAATCTCAAGTAATGCATGCCTATTACTTTTAGGTCATTTCAGCTACAGAACAATTGAGGGAAGAAAAGGGTCCTGGCAAATGTACCTTGTATCACACTTGGCACTATAAACTTTAGTACAGCTCAGGTTAAAAACCAAAACATTTATCAGGACACAGTTAAGTATTTATGATTGAGATGTATGATAACACAGAATCAAGATTTTATCTGAACTCACATTCAACTTCGTTGTCCTGAAAAAGTTTGTTATTTCCACAATCTTCACACTTTAATTTCTGCTAAAAAACCAAACAAATAAGCTTTGACTGATGTTATTTTTACCTGTCTAGGAACACTGCAGTTATCAGGAGGAGGAAGAATACCCAATTGATGGAAAGTATTTAAACCAAATGTGTAAACATATCCATCTTCTGTTAAAACAACAGTATGATCCTTAGCTGCAGCTATCTGGGAGCACTGATGGCCAGCTAAGCCTTCCACGAGTCTTGGAACCTGAACAAGAAAAAAAAAATATTGGTATAAAAATAGACTGGCCTGATATTAACCAGTGGCCATCTATGAAACTAAAGTTCCACCAAGAGAAAGTCATGACCAAACACTGAACTACAGATGAAAATGCATTTGAACATACCATACACTCATTAACGTAACTACCACATCCAATCCAGTAAGATAAACTACTTTTATTTTAAATGTGTCCTCTGCTACCAGGGGAGATGATTTTTAAACTACCTGTTCCAAAATTAGGTTGGAAACTATATCTTCAGGACAGCTGGACAAATATTAACTTAACTCTTCTGGTTTTCTTTTTAAATTACCATGAGTGATAAAGATTTGTCCCTCCAAAACACAGCACAATCCTAAAAAAATTCCACAGAATGAGAAAGCAGGTCTGTATCTTTGACTCTTCATGCACTCTACCATGACTTCTCCTTTATTCAGCTGGGTAACATCCCAATTTCAAAACAGCAATTTGCAAAAAATTCTAATTTCATAAAATTGCATTCAAAAAAAAAAAAAGCAGCATTAAGAATTGAGCTCTAGTAGATTTAGATTAGACATTAGAAATAATTTTTTTCCTGTGAGGGTGGTGAGACACCAGAACAGGTTGCCCAGGGAAGTTGTGGATGCCCCATCCCTGGAGGTGTTCAAGGCCACGTTGCACGAGGCTTTGAGTAACCTGGTCCATTGGAAGGTGTCCCTGCCCATGGCAGGGGGGTTGGAACTAAATGATCTTTAAAGTCCCTTCCAACCCAAACCATTCTGTGATAAGATCCAGCAACACAATATCAAGCTCTACCAGAAATTTAAAAAAAATTATTGTGCTGCAAACTAAACACAAACAACCAGGTAGTGTGCATGGGATAAGATACTGTAGTCTAAGAATTGCATTGTCATCATATCTTGACCTTCTCAGATTTTGGTTTTGCATATTGCAACAAAGTACTATCCAAATGAAAATGATAGTTGAGTTTTCACTTAACAGCTCTGCAAGTCTAGTAAGAAGCAACTCTACCATCACTTTTCATGCCACTCCAGCTCTACTGTACTGCTGTTTCCTTTGTGCCAGCCTTGACACTCATCAGACGGCATCACAAGAAGCTAGGCCAGACTAAAACCATTTGCTTCCACTTACCTGGCATCAGCTAGCCTTTAAAACAACTTGGCAGTAACACAGAAACTTGACTGCAGTACCTAGCTATCTTAAATTAAAATATATTTAAATGCACAGTCTTCTACTTTCTACCACCTCACTAGCAGTACCGGAGAGCTTTTTTACCTCTTATTTGGTGGGGAGCAAGAGGGTTTGTTTGAAATCAACAGCAAACTGGTTTTGAAAGTACACTCACAGAACCTCTAATTCACTTTTTAGACTTGCTGTTTGAAATAAAAGAAATATCATGCTAGACTAGACAAGATAGCATAAGATAGCATACCAGGCATGTTTGTTCATCCCCATGTCCCAAGCGTCCTCCTTGTCCATGTCCACATGTATAAACTTGACCTTTGTGGGAAAGGAACACAGAGTGGAATTCACAGAGTACCACCTGAAAAGAAAAGGGCACAAAAGGGGTGAGGAGGAGGCAGTATAGGACAAATTAATTTTCTTGGATAATCTGCAAACACCTGCCAAATTTACTTTTTAAGAAGTTCAGCCTTAATAAAGATCTGGTCATGAAAATACAAGTAAGATACTACTGTTAAAAGCACAGGACTGCCAAATCAAGTCACAAGGAACAAAGTATTTGATTTAAATTTATTATGTACTGCTTTAACCTACTCGAGGAGACTTACAGTTTGTATTGTTTAAAAGAAGTTCAAGCATGGCCCTGCAGGCTAAGAGAAGCTCAAAAGATTCAGATTTAAAGGGCAGCCATACTGCCTCAGAAGAGATGAAGAAAACATCAGTTAAGACTGCAGCACAGATTGTCTGCCCTGAATACTTGTTCAAGTTGTACTTTAAACTTTCAAACATTCTTAAACTGAGGTTTCAAGAAGTTACTAAGAACAAAACTACTGTTCCTACTGTCCCACTTCAGTTCCCTACAGAGTTTTATGAGAGGTCAGAAACTCAAAACAGTTACAGAAGTATCATGCTTCTGAATTTACTTAATGATGTACAAGGCATATATCCAAGATAAATAATATAAAAAAAAAAACATATTCTTCCCACCAAAACAGAGAACCATGATTTAACTGAGGGTGACCAGGAAGGGGAGAAGCAGCAAGAACACAATACAGCAGGCCTACTCTAGCACTCCTTAGCTGCTCTAAGCTGCTTGCCAGATCAATGGAAACTGCTTGCTGAGAAATAACCGGGAAGAAAGAAAAAGAGAGGGGAAACAGAACCAAATACAATAAAAAAATAACACACAAAACTAACTTTTATCTTTCATGCAAATTTCAAAAACTTAATACCATCTTCAATAGTTGTTCCCCCACACACATCCCTGCAAGTTCACTGAGAAACAAACATGTCTATGTAATACTTTCAGAATACCTGTTTGATATACACGCCATTCCGAGGAAAAAGGTCCACCAATTCAGGATGATGTTTACCCTGCTGACCACCATGGCCCAAAGTAAAATTTATATTGTTTCCCCAGGTGTAGACTTCCGTGGGATCTGCAATGAAAAAAATTCTCTCTGCAGCTTGGAGATGAGTTGCATGCATAATCACTTTGAAAATCAACTCCTGCTCTATTTAAAATTTGAAGAGGAAAGCTGTTTTTTTACCTAAAATTTGAATTGAACTTTTGAAAATCTATTCTTAGGAGAAGGAAATTGCTATGAGAAAATATTTTAACATCAATGTACAAAAGATAATCAAGGTTACTTATGTGTATTCCAGTTGCAGAATATGCAAGCAATTCCTCAGCAGCAAATTTACTTGTTTTCAGAAGACAACTAATACTACCTTAGATGCTTTGTTTCAATTTAGTAGAAAGCCTTTCCCAAAAAAAAGGTTATGCTGTCTTGTATGAAAATCATAAACACTTTAAAATGAGAGGTGTGGCCAAAAACTAACATTTCATACTTTTTAAATAACCTCTCAGTTACAATGATATATGAACACCATTTTTGATGAGTTATAAACTGAAATCAATGTATGTTTGATCATGTTGAGCTACGACTAAAATGATTAATTTTAACATATTTTACAAGGTAATATTAAAAATACCCAGAACTCCGTATCTGTGTAACCAAAAATACTTAAATTGCCTGGAAACAAGCTGAAACAAATTTCACTGTGCAAAAATTCTGAACTTGGGGACAGGGAGAAAAGCAAAAAGAAGGGGGGTAGAAAAGTATAAAACAGCATAAAAAGGAATAAAAGCCACTGGAAAAACTACTCCTCTGTCAAAGAAAAAACTTGTGTGCTCAGAGTTATTCTTATATACTCATTTCCTACTTGGAGAAACTGTACAGAAGATTCAAGAACATATTCCTATCTTTTCACAAAAGACACAGAAGTGATGTAAGTTACTCTATCAAATTCAAAGACACTGAAGTCTCTGATAAATTGAATTGAGATAAAAAAAACAAAAAAATATCACAGAATAGTTGAAGTTGAAAGGCACCTCAGAGATCATCTAGTGTAACACCACTGCTCAAGTAGGGTCAGCTAGAGCAGGCTGCTAGGACCATGTTCTCTCAGGCTTTGAATATCTCCAAGGCTGGAGCCTCCACAGCCTCTTTGGGTTACCTATTGTATCATTTGCTTGGTGGTTTTTTGCCTCTTTTTTTTTTACCTCCAAGTCAGTCATTATTCCTTCATTTTTGCTACACATGTGCATGCTGTGCCTACTGCCAAGATTCTGCACCTGCTGTGTTATGACATTAGTGACTCCACATCTTCCGATATCTCATAACTTATACATTCCTAATTAGAAACAGAAAATATTATCTACACGGGTACATACATTAATACATTGTTCAAACATATCTCCTTGTAAAATATAATTTAAGCTACTCAATTTCCTACCGGTTTTTTTGAAGACCACATGGATTGGTCTATCTTTCATCACAAGATCCAGGGCTGATAAGCCTTCTTTATCCTGAACATACAGACTAACACCATGCTGAATGGAGAGGAGAGGAAGAGAAACAAAGTTAAAACTGAACTTCACAGCTTTAAGTATGTCAGGTAAGCATTTAAGAAGCTAAACAAATCTTTAATTGAAGTCAAATATTGATAAAAGAAAACTTTCAGATTATTTCAAGTAAATTGTAAGCAGATTTGGAAAAAAAACAGTGCAGTTCTGTTCAACTACATATACATCATGTTCATCTATTAACTGGTAATTTATTGTATGAATACTGATTGAACACTAAGATGTAATCAGGGAAACACAAAGGAAACACACTTGAAGATAAAGCACTGCCATCTAGGAAGGGCAAGGATTTACCAAAACCGCATTTACCAGCTTTGAAGAACACATTTTCTTACATCGGCATGTTAACAGCATCGGTTTTGACAAGCTGGAGAAGTGAGAAGATGAAAAAAAACCTGCTACAGCTTTGAAAACAAGCAGGGAAGAGTGGTTCACAGCTGCTGAGAAAGGGCAAGAGGACACAAACAGCCAGACTAGCCAGCAGCAAAGAAGGGTCCGAAGCACAAAGCATGAACAGGTCATTGCTTTAGAACATTAGGAGATATGTATATATACTGTAAGTATTGTTTTCTCAATACAAAAAAAAAAAAAAGTGTTGCTACACCAGCATTGGTTTTAAGGAAGTTAAGTGTCATCAATCAGATCACTGAAGGAAGAACTGCCGATGTCCCCAGGCAGAACCTTAATGGATAATCGGCTGCAGCTATGTACCATGGCTCATGGCTGATATAAAAGCAAACTTTACAGAATTTCACACTTAAGAACCAAACACATTAATTACAGGAATCAAGGGAGCAAAATCCATTCCAGCATGCCAGAAGGACAGCTAGCCTTATCTGCAGCAGGGATTTTAACCTGCAACTTCATCTGGAAAAACACCAGCCAGAAGAACAACATTCATTCTCCAAATTATAAAGGCAACCCTGCTAACAGCAGTGCTGGTATGAATGCACTACATGACAGAAAGACGAACCTATTTTTATTATTTAACAGGTAGCTGGACATTCTTCTCTTTGGCAGCTGCACAAGTCATTTACAAGCAGAACAGAAGCTGCAGCGATATTTGCATAGTCTGAATTTCTAAAAACAAACCCCAATTGCTGAGTGGCAAAACTTGTAGTTGTATGCATTCTGAGAATAAACCATGACTGCCTCCAGCCCACAACAGAAGTTATCACACACACTAGTTGAGTACCCCAGGGGTTTATACTGGGTCAGTACAGTTTAACATCTTCACCAATGACCTGGATGACAGGACAGAGTGCACCCTCAGCAGGGCTGATGATGAGGCAAGACCAGGAGGAGCGGCTGATAAGCCAGAGGGTTGTGCTGCCATACAAAGGGACCTTGACAGGCTGGAGTAGTGGGGCTGAGAGGAACCTCATTAAGTTCAGCAAAGGAAAATGCAAATCCTGGCCCTAGGGAGGAACAGCTCAGTGTACCAATACAGATGGAGACCGACTAGCTGGAAAGCAGCTTGGCAGAAGAGGACCTGGGGCTCCTGCTCGACAACGAGTTGACCACAAGCCAGCAATGTGTCCTCACAGCTAGGAATGGTGAAAGCATCCAGGGCTGCACGACAGAGTGTTGCCAGCGGGTACTACTCAGCACTGGCAAGCCACAGGGAGTGCTGGATTCAGGTCTGGACTCCCCAGCACAAGACAGACATGGACATGCAGGAGCAAGCCCAGCAAAAGACCACGAAAATAATGACTGAGGCATCTGGCGTACAAGGAGAGGCTGAGAGAGCTGGGATGCTCAGCCTAAAGAAGGTTCATGGGAGGTGGGGGGGGATGTGTCTTATCAACGTGTATAATAAACACCTGACTGGAGGTGGGGGGTGGGGATCCCAGTGATAGCCAGTGGCAGGACAAGTGGCAATGGGCACAAATTGAAATATAAGAATTTCTGTTTAAACCTAAACCCCATTGTTACTGGACTAGTATAAAACATTGAAACAAGAGATGCTTAAGTCTCTGTCCCTGGAGACATTCGAAATCCAACCAGACACAGTCCTGGGCAACCTGCCATCAAACTTCCTTGAGCATTGGGGGTTGGATGAGAAAATCCTCAGACATCTCTTTGTAGGTCAGCTATTTTGATAACTCCACTCTATAATCCCTTCCTGTTGTTGCTATAATACCCTTCTATAATGCAGTATGGCAGAGATACTTCAGCTAAGAAAGTAAGAGGCAGAGCACTCTTTACGAGCTGTTTCATTCTGCTTCTTAGAGGCATATCAGCAGAGCTAGATATTAGAAAAACCTCACTCATTTATGCAACTGACAGAAAAGCAAA